TTTACTACCATCAGCAGTGTTCAAAACTTGTGTTGTTTTGCTAAAATATTTGGTTGGAACCAGTCCTTCATTTATACAGTTTAGATCGGCTTCTGAATCGATAAGAACAGTAGTTTGAAAAGTGAACTCTTTTTGTACCACTATTTTTATGATGATAAACCATCTTTATATTATTACTTTATTCAAGAGGTTGGCATATTTATAATCTTGTATTTTTCTCAACATATTACAGTTATTGGAAGTTTGTGGATCGTCTCTCACTTTTGGGTGTGTATCTTCCATTTCGGGTGGTAACAGATTTTGATTATAATCATGCATCAAATTATTAAATTCTTCTTCCGGACTTTCTTCCTCATTTCCACTTTCATTTTTAGTAGCTGCTATTTCAAGAATTTGTATTTTAGTTTTTACAGTTATCAATTCATTTCAAACCTCATTTATTTCATTTTTTAGATCATGAATTGTGGGTTCTTTTTGGTTTTGAATTCTATTTTGAACTCTTTTCAAAATATCACTAAAGCTGTAATCTTCATTAGTAGGAATAAGAGTCGGTTTAGGAGCAAGAGAACTTGAAGGTTCTTTGGCCATGTTGATATAATGAATTAAGGCTTCTCTTTTAGCCTCAGGGTCACTTATTTTATCAATTAGGTCAATTATGAGATTTTCTTCCTTGGTCAGAGTATTTAAGTTTAGGCCTTTCAAGAAATTACACTGATAATTAATATCTTCAGAATCGGTTTCAGAATCTGAACTGGAGAAAATCAATTCTCTATCATTTATCTCTCCGATAAGCATTTCTTCATCAGAGTCAGAAGATTCTTCAAAATCATCTCTTTTTATTAAGAGGATATCAAATAATTGTTTTTTTATTTCAAGGTCTATTACTAAAGCATTTATTTTCTTTTTCATATGACATTTATTTTTATAGTGTCCTACTTTTCCACAGTTATAACAAACTGGTATTTTTCTTTTTCCCTTTTGTTTAAAGGAGTGATCTTATAAAAAAAATTTTAGGAAAGGTATTTTTCTTTCCTTTTGAATATCGAGACTTTGTCTTTCTAGAATCTATATATATATATATATATATATATAGG